TTGAGAGAAGATGGTGAAAGAGGCAACAGGTTTGTCAGCTTAACCAGAAAGAAGATCTCAAGTTTCCGGCCTTTCACTGTCCCCTGCACCACCCCCAGCCCGTCCCCTACCCCCACCTCACTTAGTCATCACTGATTTCTAGTCCGAACCCCTTGTTTTATGGAAGGGGAAGTGGGAGAGTAAAAAAAAAATTAGTCACCCAAGACCATACATGGCAACTTATTTGCTGCTGATTATTTTCTTGTATTGTATCTATAGAGATTATACATAGATTTTAAAGTGACTTTTTAATTTTGAGATATGATTCTGGTTTTCTGCTTCTCTGACACTTTTGGCATCTAATTACTAAGTTATAGCCATTATCTGCTGAAACACAGATAATAAGAACACAGAACACTAAGTAGGATATTCATAGAAGATAGAAAATATTGAAGGTATTCAAATTTCTTCAATAATATGATTTATATGCTAGAACTGTCCTGTCTAGGAAAAACTAAGCATCTTCTTAAAATATGCTTTTTCTAATAGTCATTTATGTTTTACTTTGTAAATTCATGACCTAGTGGCTTTTAGGTTACTCTTTTATAGAGATTCTCTAGACCACCTGAACATTTTCTTTTTTGTGTTTCTGGAAGACCTTTACAACTACTGATAAAAGCATTAGACTGTGAACAGAACAATAGTGTCTATTACCTTGAGAGATTTGATTTTGAGAGTTGTAACTGAGTTCCGTTTTCTATTTCTAAAGAGTAGAAATATCTACTCTTTACCCACCCACTTAAGAGAGATCTTACAGTGGTTAAAAACTATAAGGAATAGTTATTACACTTTTAAATGCATAGTTATATAATAAATGGGGTTGATTTTATTTAGTCATTCATTAAATTATTATTGAAATACCCACTATGTTCTAGTTTTCAGATATAAACAAACATGATTTCCCCCCTTGAGTATATGGGGAGGAGGTTGAGAGATGGCTGAATAATAATAAAATTTGATGCATTATGGGAAGGAAACAATGAGGCACAATTAGGATAACTGTGCAACAAGGGAAAGCCTCTCTCAGCCAACACTTGAGGAATGAGGAGTCAGGCACTTGAAGAGCAGAGGAAAAAAATGTTCTCAGCAAACAGAACAGCATGTCCAGAAAACCCTGAAGCAGAGCAAAGCCCTGATGTGGTTTACACACTGGAAGGAGACCACGTGGCTGGATCTCAGGTGGACGGCCGGATGGGCATGCCACTGGGTGTCGATAGGGTGTTGAGGCCTCAGCTTAGCCATGAAGGCCATGGGAATTAAGAGTTTTGATGTTAACTTCAAGCACATTGGGAAGTTATTAAAGGATTTTCTGTGGTGAGTGACGTGACTGGATTTATGTTTTATGAAGGTCAGAATAGAGGTGGATAGGAATCGAGGCAGTGAAAAGGGAGTTATGGAAGGATGCAAAACTTTCTGTTGTATATTAATAAGGAAGACAAGGGAAAGGAAAATGTCAGGGGTGACTTCTGCAATTCTGGCTTGAAGGAATGGCATTGCCACTTATTGAGGTGGGGAAATTGAGGAGGGGAGAGAAATCAACAGGTGCCTGTGAGGTGTCAGTGAGGAGTGTCCAGTGCACAGCTGGACACTAGTCTGAAAGCTCAGGACAGAGGTTTGGACCAGAGATGTGAATATGCGAGCCGTTGGCATGTGGGAAGTATTTAAAGCTCTGGGAAAAAAAATACAGAGAAGAGAAGAGGGCCTAGGAGTGAGTTTTCTGGGACATTCCCACATTTAGAGGTTGGATAAGGAGTAACCTGTAACAGTGAATGCAAAGGAGTCGCCAGAGAGATAGGAGGAAAGCAGGAGAGTGTGGGGTGTTCTGAATCACGTTGACAAGGCAGGTCTCATCACCTGAGTTGGGGCTGCTACGAGGTCAGGTGAGACAAGGACAGGCAAGAGCGGATTATCCTCTGTAGTGGCCACAAGAGCAGCCCCGATGGAATCAGGCTGGAGTGGTGGCAGAGAAAGAGGAAATGAGGAAGTGAGACAGGGTCGACAAGACTTCTGAGAAGTTACGAGTAGAGAGCAGGGAAGTATGGTAGTAGCTGCCAGAGGATGTGAGATCAAGAGGAGGCTACTTTGTTGTAGTGAGATGGGAGCCACTCAAGTCTGTGTTTGGGTAGAATTTTAATCTGTAGAATGTGAATTGGATTCAGTGTGGGCTGGTTTACTGAGGTGCAAACAAGACAGAAGGATTCTGCCTTGTGTGACCCTCCGGAGCAGGTGGGCTGCCCTCCATGAGGTCATCCTGGGACCCCAGCTGAGGGGGGCGGCTCTGGCATCTTCGTCACCTTGGGGCTTCCATGATCAGGTCTGTAGTAATGACATCAGTCAGTATTTTCCAGACAATGGGAAAGGGAAATCTAGGGCAAGTGGCTTTCTTCTTATGAAGATGGCCTAAATATTGAATACATTTTCTCCATTGTATCATGGGTCCAGACTTAATCACATGGCCCCAACTCACTGTGGTCTCCAACTGGGTGGAGGCGTGCCAGCTGAAACTGAAAGTTTGATTACTAAAAGAAAGATGGAAAAAATAGATTCTGGAGAGAGTCTGTTTCAGCCACAGACTCTGGGCTCCTTGAAGGTAGGTAGGGTGTAGGGGGTTACAACATATTTATCTCTGCCTCTAAACCAGGAGCAGTGCTTGACTTATATTTGGTACTCAATAAGGGTTGGGTGAGTTGAACTGATTATTAAAATTAATCCTCCCCCTCCTAAATGGTAAAATTCAACCATAGGCTCTGAATTACACTATCACCACCTCTGCCTCCCCCTCCACTGTTTTTTCTGTAGACTTGACACTTTGCGGTATAAGCATAAAAATGCGAATATCATATTTGCCTTCAAGATTTGCTTGAAAATGTAAGAATGAAAGAGAAGATGTTTTAGTTTTATGTAGATCCCTATCTGGCTTTGCATTTGGACTTGATATTTACATTTACATTGGGTAACTGAGCACATGCCAGGTTGACAGGTTTTTTATTCAACAGACAGAATAGCTGGTGATTGTAAAAAGTAACCTTAAACAGAAAGCACAGATACCACATTTAGTTTATAAGATAGACTGGTATTTGTAATGTTTCCCTCTTCAAATTATTAAGCATCTTCCAATGTGTATTGTGAAAATAGGAACTAACTGGTAGTTTTACTGTGGAGTTTTATTTTTCATAAAAATTCTACTCATACTAACGGGTGTATCATTGGCTTAAAGTATTACACTAGCCCTTTGCCCATGGTATTTTTACCATAAAATTAGAATTAGGAAGGCAAATTATGTGATTATCTGAGATATTCATTTTTGAGATATTCACCACATAGCTAAGATGAGAAATTACTTAAAATGACATGGTGACCACTGGTATAGCAGCTCTCTTGCTGCTTAGAGCAAAAAATGGCTTTAATTATAGCAGCATGTCTATTAGTAGTAGGAAGAGGTAACAGCAAGAAATAGGTTCTTGGGCTTCCCTGGTGGCGCAGTGGTTGGGAGTCCGCCTGCCGATGCAGGGGACGCGGGTTCGTGTCCCAGTCCGGGAAGATCCCACATGCCGCGGAGCGGCTGGGCCCGTGAGCCATGGCTGTTGAACCTGCGCGTCCGGAGCCTGTGCTCCACAACGGGAGAGGCCACAACAGTGAGAGGCCCGCATACCACAAAAAAAAAAAAAGAAAGAAAAAAGAAATAGGTTCTTTAGATGTGATGATGTTCACATGAGATCACATCTCATTTGGCAGATGTGGAAACTGAGGCACAAAATACTTATGTCTTGACAAGGAAGTTATAAGGAGATGGCAGCTATATTTTAGGGCATCCTTTTTAGGATGTAAGAGCAGATTATTCTATGTCAGGATCTGTTGTTTGAGTTCCTGATGGGATATGAGATGGACAAGCTTCTTCAACACTCACGGGAAATAGGAGGGAACCAGGAAGAAGCCTTTGAGAGTGAACTTGTGATGAGCGGGAGAGGTGATGCTACCCGGCTTCCCTCCACCGTGGCCAGGGGTGGTCCAGTGCGGGACAGGTTCCTCAACACCGAAGAAGCCGCTGATGTACTGTGGTTACTCGTTCAAAAGGGAATAACAGGGACTTCCCTGGTGGCGCCGTGGTTAAGAATCCACCTGCCAATGCAGGGGACACGGGTACAAGCCCTGGTCTGGGAAGATCCCACGTGCCACAGAGCAACTAAGCCCGTGCGCCACAACTACTGAGCCTGTGCTCTAGAGCCCAAGAGCCACAGCTACTGAAGCCCACACGCCTAGAGCCCGTGCTGCGCAACAAGAGAAGCCACCGCAATGAGAAGCCCGCGCACCGCAACGAAGGATAGCCCCCGCTCGCTGCAAGTAGAGAAAGCCGCGTGCAGCAACAAAGACCCAACGCAGCCAAAAATAAATAAATAAATATATTTATTTAAGAAGAAAAGGGAATAACAGTTACGGGAAAATCACAGAGGGGGAGGGTGTTTGTTCGCAGAAGAATGGATGGATTCACGGGTGTGGCAGGGCAGAGCAGGGCCCCTGGGAAGGGGAAAGGGAATGAGAAAGAGCATCCGCTTCCATTACTAGATCATCATTGCCAGAGATTAAAATGTATCTCCAGCTGATTCAGAAAATTCATTTTTCTGAAATTAAACGTATCTAAGTTAGGTAATTATTATGATGGTAATGTCATTTCACAGTCATCTGTGGCAAAAATCTAATAGAGATAAAGCCTGTGATCGTTCCAAGTTAGCATTTACTACTAAATGTTCCTTTTGAGACGTCGACGGGCACCCGTCCTTGTGGTGAATTGGACAAGGCTGTTGTTAGGTATGTGTGGTGGGATCGTGTTTTGGTTCTTAGCGTTTCTCCATCTTTCCTGTGCTGGTTTCCTTCAGCCGTTCACTGTAACCTCCCGTCTTTATTGCCTGCCTGGGGGAGGTCACGGCACCGAGTGATGGGCCCTTCCCGTTTTCTGCTTGCAGAACAATCGACCATGACAACCGAATCGGGATCAGACTTGGAATCGAAGCCGGAGCAGGAGGCCGAGCCCCAGGAGGGTCACGCGGGGGCACAGCTGGGGGCGCAGCCAGGAGCCGAGCCGGGCACTGAAGAGCAGCCCCGGGCACTGGAGCAGTTGGAGGAGGCGGCAGCGCACAGCACGCCCGTGAGGAAGGAGGTGAGCCTGGACCACCCCGCACTTGCGAGCATCCCCCCCACCCCCCCAGAACCCATGAAAGAATGTTTGCTGAGCTTTTCCAGGCTTTGCTCTGACCTTGGCCTCTTAGCACTAGAGGGAACCACCAGGGGTCATCTGCTTGGCCCCTTCTGGTCCTGGGCAGATGGAAAGTTAGGCTATTTTAAGGCTTTCAGTGAATGACATTCCACAGCCTTGCTTGGTGACGCCTTCCTTTGATGAAAGCATTTGAACTCACACTGAAATCTGGACTGCAGGTCAGTGGTTTTTGTCTGGGTTTACAGGGAGGCTAGACACTGCTCTGGCGGCTCTAATTATGCGACCGGTTGTTTATTTAAGCCTTGGGTTCAGAGCTCTTGTGATTTTTCCCTGGGGCCACTCTGACCCTAAGGTTGCCAGCTACTCATAGTGGGTGTTCATGCCTCTTTCCCCCTCCCGAGGACATGTCTATTTTCAACTCTGTTACCTAAACATGTTTAAGTTGTCATGGATATGTGATTATTCCTTTTAAAAGCTTTCCTACAAAATATAAAGCACGATTTATACCTGGGCCTTGAATGAATCCGTGTTTAAATTTCTTTGGCTTGAAACTTCAAACCTGGAATCAGCATGTTTTAGGGTCCCGACTCATGGGTTAAGGAAATCTGGGAGTCCCTACACATGGTTGACCTCTTACAGGTTGGAAGTATTTGTGTCAAGCCAGAAATTCTAGAAGATGTTAAGAGACATGAAGGAAGTGGCATGTCTTTGGAAAACACAACACATTGGTTTAGCCTTAAGCTACTATGTGTTTACAGCCTGATTATTTTATTTCTTTTCCCATGGTATTTAAGTTCCGCTTTTAAATGGCATAAAGAGTAATGTTTATTTTCATGCTCTGTAAATAGATGCTCTGTCTGATCTCAGACATTTTGTGCAGGGAGCTGGGGGTTGTCCTTCAACCTGTCAAACAGAATCAAAGGGACAGGTGCTGTCATTATGGTTTTCCTTTATCTTTTCTTTTTATGGAGATGTGGTGGTGGTAGTGTTTTGTTTGTTAATTTTCAGATCTTCAGAAATTTAAAGTTACTAGACTGGATTTTTCTCTCTTCTTTCCTCTTAACTCTGAAATGAAATAAACGTGAAAGTGGGGGAAATTGGAGAGAAGGAAGAGTTTCCATACCCAGATATGATTAGACATGTGTATTTAATAAATGGATTGACTTTCTGTAGTCAGACGTTTGAAACTAAAGAGGAGTGACTCGAAGCCACTGGAGGGAAAGGTGACTGGCAGCAGAGTCACGAGACTTTAGCCCTGCCTCCCCCCTGGTTATCTCAGTGGTCTCAGAACTCTTTTGAGTCCTCTGGACCTCAGCTTACTCATTTACAGAACGAAGAGATCAGAAAAGATCATTTTCTAAGATTCTTCCACTCTCAGATTCTCTCATTCACACCGGGTGCCCAGTTATGTTCGAGGTAGAATGAAGTGTGCTTTGGTATCTCGTGGTGATTAAAGCGTGGGCTTTGGCTGGATCTGGATTCCAGTTGACTAGTTTGGTGACCTTGAGAAAGCTGCAACTCTCAATATGGTCTTACTCTCCAGCCCGTGAACTTTAGCCACCAGGGTGGTGGTATATTCATGAGAGAGGAAATTTCGTGCTTATGTAAGGGGCCCAAACTGAGTTTCAAAACATATCTTCCTTTGGACTTTCAGAGTGTATTTGCAGACCATGGAAGCATGGAAGCTGTGGTCTGGCCCTTGGGTTGAATGTGCGTTGATGGTCATTTAATACATAGAAAAAGGGCAGAAAAAGAGTTGTTGGAGGGGAGTGCACAGGGAGGCTGCCAAGGGGACTGACTGAGGGGAGGACTTTATTGTTCATAGGATGTCCTCTGCAGTTCTGAGTCTAGCTTGGACTGGACTGTTGTGATTTGAAAGCAGATTAAAGCTTTTGGACAGATTTGATCTGTTCTTCTACTAGCTCATTACAGTGAAGGGGGAAGCAGACTTAAGGGATTACTTTGTAGTGAATTTCAGTGCTGCTGGCTTCATTGAATTGAGTTAGAGCTAAATCAAATATTTTAACAGTTGTGAAATTACTGAGAAGATTAATACTTGAATCTATGTAGGCCTTATAATTTAGAAGATACCTGGTATGTTTATGGGACAGTTATGGGTCATGGAATAAAGGAGGATCCAGTGAATGAAAGAAGCAGAATATATTAGGTTAAATCTTAGATGCTTTATTTGTTTTTAAGGCTTATACTACCCAGTGCCTTTTTTTTCCCCAACTGAAGTATAAATGCTGTGTTAGTTTCAGGTGTACAGCAAAGTGATTCACTTATACATGTATATACATATTCCTTTTCCGATTCTTTTCCATTATAGGTTGCTATAGATGATATAGTTCCCTGTGCTATACAGTAGGTCCTTGTTTATCTGTTTTATATATAGTAGTGTATCTTCGTTAATCCCAAACTCCTAATCTATCCTTCTACCACCCTTTCCCCTCCAGTAACCATAAGTCCTCTCACTGTGTCTGTGAAAGCCGATGCCTTTTAAAAAGTCAGGAGCCCACTTTTGTACCCTCCTTTGCTTAGTGGAATCTTGATGGCATTTGCTAAGAGCTTAGCACTGCTAATGTAAATCCTTGAGTCAAACTGAAATAAGGCCCTATGGGTACATTTAAACTGCAGAAGTTACTTAAGTGTAACTGTTAGCGTTATAAGTATTTGTATATGTATATCCATTCCTAATATCCTAATTCAGACATCCCTCATCCTTTAGGAAATAGGAAAGCCTGTTTCTAAAGGGTTCTGTTATTGCCTGAGCAATGCAATATTTATTTCCTGTCTTGCAGTGAAAACTGTCCATTGTTTGCTCTTCGCAGGTCACTGACAAGGACCAGGAGTTTGCCGCCGGACCTGCCAAACAGCCCGAATATCAGCAATTTGAAGACGATAAACTTTCCCAGAAATCATCTAGCAGCAAACTATCTCGATCTCCATTAAAGATTGTCAAAAAGCCTAAAAGCATGCAGTGCAAAGTGATACTTCTGGATGGATCAGAATATACCTGTGATGTAGAGGTAAATGTATATTTTAAAACTTTTTTTTGTCCCAGATATTGAGAGCTGGGAAATATTGCTGTAAAGCATACAAGACGCCTCTTTGTTTTTCCAGAACTCTGGAAAATTACTCAGACCCAGTTTCTAAACACAAAATTATTTCCAAAGTCTCTCACAGAGGATCAAATTACTGAAAATACTTATAAAGTCCCCAAAATGTTACAATCGAGAGAAAAATATGGTCTTTAAAAAAAAGAAGAAGAAGAAATCTCTAATACTTTCCATGGTAGGAAAAACATTTTGGAGGCCTTAGAAATCAAGTGTTCTTTAATATCCTGACTATGAGCTAACATTGAAATGAATTTTACCTTTTCTGTTTGCGTAACTTACGGCCAAGTTGTTAATTGGTAGAAACTTGGAGATTTCTGTATACAGGAGCGGTAGGAGGATTTGAACTGTGAATGTCCTTTTCTTGCTTGGAGAATGGGTAGTTTTTAAAATGCACGTGGTGGTGGGCATTGCAGCTCGAGTGTAAAGGGGTGTGCTCCTCTGTGTTTTCTTGTAAAGAAAACAAAAATTCTTCTGAGAGAAGGGGCAGGTGAGTGACTTTTGTCAGAGATGTTTGGCCAGACCAAGCTAACAAGTGACAGCGACACAGGCTGTTGAGAGTGGCGGCAATGGATGGTTGTTGAGCTCCCGGGTATCACGGGGACACAGGCTGGGCGTGAACTCTGGCCGGAGAATCAGGTCTGCCCTGTCCACCACCTACCGCGTCTTTTTCCCCCAGCTGGGAGGGAGCAGCTTGCTCTTTTTGCAAGTTGATTCCATTTCAGATTGAATATTTTCATTCAGAGAGCTACTCTCCTGCCTCCATCCCCTTGCCCTTGGTCCTACATGGGCATCGCACATCCCTCTGTGCCAGCCCCGCCCACCACATGCCTCCAATGGTCCCCTCTTCTGCCCCGGGGTGCTGAGAGTCTGCTGGCTCCGCAGCCAGCGTACATCTGTGTGTGGTCATGCATTTCCGTTTCTCTTTTCTCAAGGCACAGCCAGCAGCAAGCCCACCTGATCCCCCATGGTCCACGTTCATTTGTCTCCTCTTTCTCTGCCTACAGCCCCCGTTTCATTCCTTATAGTTTGCATAATGCACTCATGCACCAGTGCTTTTCTTGGAACAGAAGATTTAAAGTCATTTCATGTTGATAACGTCATTTAGGGTGGGGGGTGGGTTATCAAATTATTACAGATTGCAGGGACGTAGAAAAAAAGTTTTAGATAAACTCTTAGATCAAAAGAGATTCAGTCTACCATATATTAATTTAGAGAATTTTTGTTATCCTATAACCTGACAAATATTAGTGGGTTACTACAGGGAATAAAATATGCGTTCTAAGGTTTGCAGTGCACAGGTCCATTTCTTGCATTTCGCTGGCTCTGATTTTGGCTAATTTCTTAGCCCAAGGTGTTCGATTATTGATTTAGATGTTTATTCTGGAAATGAGAAGATCCAATAATATACTTTTACCTGGGTTTTACTATGAAGCTTAAAGCACTTCTGTAACCTTTAGCGAGGTTGCATTTTTCCAGTGTGGATCTCCCTTCCGGAAAAATTCATCGAAGTCAAGAGGAGCTTTTTTCCTTAACTTGGAGGCAAGTCTTTCTACCGATTGTATTTATGTAATGGGATAAATAGGGTTCCCTGGCAGTCCTCTAGTCACGACTACCAGAGTTTTCTAAAGAACAGTCTAGAAGAAAGTTGATAGTGTTTCCTGTAGGGAGAATAAATGCCTCAGGGCTGACCCCAGTGCACGTCATGCTGATCCTTTTGCTAAATTTATTTTATATCCCGTGCTTCAGATTCATTCCAGCTAATCTGTGTTTTTCAGTACAGCGTTTTTGGTTTGTAATTAACTCTGGGTACCATTCAGTGTTACTTTTAATGTCACTGTGAAGACTGTGAGTGGCATGGCAATGTTGGTCAGCTATTTTCTTTTATAATAAGGTATTTTTATGAATTGGACAGATTCTTAAGAGTAACTTTTTTTCTGGGACACACAAATCCTTGTCAGCAGAATATTCTCAGTGTCACAGCAGAAGAAGGTGTGGCCGCTACTGACATCCTGACAGCCATGGAGAAGATGGAGAAACATGGAGATGCTAAAGTGAAATGGGTTTGTCTGTCACCTACTAGCTGGATAAGAAAAATGGGTCGTGAATCGGTGACGTGGTTCTCAAGGTGGCAATGAGATGCTAGTTGAAAAAGCAGATTCAAAATGCTGGACTTCCCTGGTGGCACAGTGGTTAAGAATCCGCCTGCCAATTCAGGGGACATGGGTTCAATCCCTGGGCTGGGAAGATCCCACATGCCGTGGAGCAACTAAGCCTGTGCGCCACAACTACTGAGCCTGCGCTCTAGAGCCCACGAGCCACAACTGTTGAGCCCACGTGCCACAACTACTGAAGCCCGTGCGCCTAGGGCCCGTGCTCTGCAACCAGAGAAGCCACTGCAAGGAGAAGCCCGCACACCGCAACGAAGAGTAGCCCCCGCTCTCTGCAACTAGAGAAAACCCGCACGCAGCAAAGAAGACCCAACGCACCAAAGAAAAACAAAACAAAAACAAAATGCCTCTGCTTTTAGATACAAACTATGAAAAGTAAAGCTTTGCTGGCGAGGTACACGGGGTCTAGCAGGTAAACAGAGGTTGAAAAACATTGTCCTAGAGAAGGTGTCCTTCAGCCTTTACTCTCCTCAAAACTGAGCTGTTAACTGAATCTTGGGTGAAGGCACAGCACACACGCAAAAACAGCTCGACAACTTTTTTAAGTGATAAGGGCTTTGGAAGCAAGGAACAGCCCATGTGTCAGAACCCAGGTTTCTTAAATGGATGGTGTGGACACTGAAGCAAAGTAGCAAGATAACATTTCGCAGGAGGGGAGGTAAAACTTCTCTCCGTTTTTAAAGATCAAGTGCAAAACAGAAATAGGTTTGGAGGAAGGGCCAGGCAGACTTAGTAACAGTTCGGGTGAAACTCAGCTTTGGGTTTAAGGTGATTACAAACCCAGCAGGAACCAGCAGTGCAGTGTGGCTGTCAGGAATGTTCTGGAAATCACAGGCTGCTTCCCGGGAGTGTAGTGTCTAGTTTGTGGAAGGCAGTGAGTAGTCCCCGTTCCCCTGCTGGGAGGTCCCATTTGTGTAATTCACACGTGATACACATGCTCCAGAGCCACCAGACTGGGGAGTGATTTCAAGGAACTTCTTAAATCTTCTGAACCTCATTTTCCTCACCAGGAAAATAGGGGTGAAATAAGGCATTGTTGGGAAGATGAAAGCAGATAACTGATTTACACTCTCTGGGATGTAGCAGATTCTTGATAAATGGTATCAGTTTAACAACGATAATAGCAGTGAACTCCGACTTAAGCTTATTCAGCAGAGAATTACAGGATGGTGAGTAGTTTGAAACCTTCCCATGCGAAATGATTCGAGAAAGAATGTGTTGAAGATGGAAAAAAGGTTAGGCGGAGACAGGATAGCTACTTCCAGTTACTTGGAAGGGTTGTCATTGAACGTCATAACATTTTTTAACGTATAGGAAGTAAAACTTAGGAAGAAGTTACAGGAAGTCAGATTTTCAATAAGCAGAGAAAGAATGTTTTAAAGTGGTCATTGTCAACCTCGTGATGATGTGTGCTCTGCTGTTGGGATTCCAGCAGAAAGCACAGGTGCATCTCTGGTAACCAGCAGCTCCTGGGTGTAATCTCAGACCCAGTGGCGTCTCATACCCCTTCCTGCTCTAAGATCCCGGAGAGAAGAGGCACCAAGCTCTGAAGGAAGAAGCAGGATGGCCTCCACGACCCCTGCCCCCAACATGTGTGGTTGTGAATTAGGAACAGGATGCGGGAGACAATAACAGGCATAACGTTTGTTGCATTGAATAAGGCATCAAAAAAGGCATTTTATTTTAATGAACTCTCTATGCCTAGCTGTTATTCCCCTGTGGCTTATTTTATGCCTTCATTATAGTTCTCTTTTCTTTTGAAAGCACAAGGTAGCATTTCCCCTTGCCCAGAAGTGCTACAGCGGTAGAAAGCCAGGACCCTGAAAAGCAAGACACAAGAAGCAGTTGCTTTCTGAGAGCAGTGACTGGACACTGATTAAGTCTGCAATTCCTGCCCCCGGTGTTCTGATGGGAGGACCTTACCGATTGTCCTGGAGTTTTCGAATTTCCCTCTAGCAATAGGCTTAGATCATTGTGGCATTCAGTGTTTTTCCATTTGAGAGATGTTTTTCCTCAGTAATTTTTTTTCAAACTCTCAGTCTTGATTATCTAAAATATAAAAAGATCTTGCAGGACTTTCCTGGTGGCACAGTGGTTAAGAATCCGCCTGCCAGTGCAGGGGACACGGGTTCGAGCCCTGGTCCAGGAAGATCCCACATGCCTCAGAGCAACTAAGCCCGTGCGCCACAACTACTGAGCCTGCGCCCTAGATCCCACGAGCCACAACTACTGAAACCCACGTGCCACAACTACTGAAGCCCTTGAGCCTAGAGCCCATACTCCGCAACAAGAGAAGCCACCGCAATGAGAGAAGCCCGCACACCACAACAAAGAGCAGCCCCTACTCGCCTCAACTTAGAGAAAGCCCGTGCACAGCAATGAAGACCCAACGCAGCCAAAAATAAATAAACTAATTAAAAAAGAAAAAAGATCTAACTATGAGTAAAATACAAGAAAGGGTCTTAACAATAAGTAATTTGATATACACGTTTGGGCAATGTTTGCAGCTACCGGATTGTCACATCCGCCAGCATAATCGCTAATACTGCTGTTCCCTTGTCATTTTTACTGGACCATTAGAAAATGCAGGCTACTTCCTATGGCCAGTTTGTCATCATCGTTGCTGTTTATTTCTTGAACATGAATTTCAAAAGAGAAAATAAAAGTACCCCTTCACAGCAGCAGTGGAAGCAGTGCTTACCATGTTTATTTCACGTTTATTTCAATCCCGTTACTTCTGGG